ACACACACACACACACCTGACCCCATACAAAGCATTAAGCTTCTAGTTAAAACTATGTCAACAGGAAATACTTCACCCAGTGACTGAAAGCAGCTTTGCAACACCTCACCTCCTTTCCAGCAAAAATAACAAACAGTGCTTTGACAGCAGCGTATATTTATCCTGTGAATGTGGGTCAGGAACAGGCTTTTTCTTAGGACTTATACTGACCACTACCATTGGTGAGCTCTGTTCCGTCTTTCTCACCGTCTAATGTGTTCTTGCGTCCGTCGGCTCCAATCACCACGTCGAAATCAAAATCTGAGACGGGGTGGCTGGAGGGCCGCACCTCGGCTCGCCACCCAGGACCTGAGGAAGAACACAACAAATCAGCTGGACCCACTTCAATTTGATTCTTTCTATACCTTAACATACATGTAATGTAAGGACAGTGTGAGTGAACATCTCAAGGGAAGGAAGATGACAGGGAGTTGGGGGTGACGCGCAGCAAAAGACAGTAATAATACTTGGTAAGGACTTTATAGCAGGCTGCTGAGTCACATATCATGTTGAAGTGCTGATTTTGATTACTTGCTTTTTTGAGGTTTATGTAGCTAATAGACATTTTCCCAGCAGCTTTTTTGACATGAAATAGTAGGGTAAACATAGGGGCTACCAATGATACTAATTAAGGTTCCGTTCCATTTAGCGTAGCAGAGGACATGCACAATAGCAGCACCCTGACTCTGTTGGAACCTTAATTAACGTCATTGGTAACATCTGTGTTTACCCTACTATTTTATTTAAAAATGGCTGCTGTGAAAAAGGTTTATTCTCAACAGCCACGCAGCAGCGACTGTTGCTCAGTCCTCTAAATTGATGAACGGTTGTGTCATGTTCCCTTAATTGTTACAGTGAAAAAGTCCCCATAAGGCACATTTAGGACACTGTATATTTTGGGGCCCTTAGAAAAGCAAACTCAAAGTAGAACTAAAATGTAACCATCAGCATCCTCTATCAATAGCCTTGTGTTATTTTACGCAGTGTGCTATAAATGCTGCTCCTGCAAACGCCTCCTCTCTAGGAAACTTTCTGATCACTTTGACATATGTTTTTTTGTGAGCAGGGAGCTTTCCATATATAGCTGAGAAATGCAGGAGAGCCTCTGTGTGTCACTGCCACTCATGACCCCTTAATATGCAGATAAGAGTGCGCACACACACCGTCGTCAGTCTGCTCCGCCGGTGGCTCCACGAGTTTGACAAACTCCACGTTCACATGGATCTCCACTGCCAGAATCAGACTCACTTTCAGCAGCATCAGCTGGAGCTGGCGGATACCTGGAGCAGATACACACAAACATGCACGTGCAGATGTTGAACATCCAAAAAGTACACAAAAAAAAAAGGCTACAGCATCCTGTATAGGGATGGAAGCAAATATGGATTTTAAGCTAGGGCTAACTTGAAGTAATTTGCTTAGCATTCATTACCTTTCAGACCTGCCACCTGGTAAAGTCAGTGTATTTTGAGTGGGCAGCAGGAGAGACGACGCCACCTCCAGTCCTACTAACACAATGTACCATATGCCACAGGTTGCTGCTATCCATTAGGGGTGTGGATCTTTCGGTATCTCACAAATTGATTCAAAATGTATTGTCTTTTTTGCTACATAGGGTTGTTAATTTTAGGATTTACTCCAGTCCATTGTGCCCTAAGAAAGCCCTTCATATTGACTGAGTCATGTTATGCTCCTTCAACTCCGGGAGAATCCAACACGCACCCAAAAGCTTGATGATGATGGGACTGATTTATTTAGTCTAGCCAGTAGCCACACTGCTTGCCTAAATTGTATTTTATGGTCAGAAAGGACACTTAGATTGCCAGCAATGAGGAGAACATTTAAACTATACTTAAGTTGGAAAAAGACCATTAAAAAAAATTTATATTTGGATGTTGCGATTCCTAGATTAATCGATAATTGTTCTAAATTCTTCCACAATTATATTTTCATTAAGAACATACTCCAACATCTGTCAGTACCTGTACGTATTTCAACTGTATGTATTCTGTTCCTGAAGAGTAGGAATGAACCAATATAAGTGCTCTTTTTTCTCTAAATAAAATCTGTGTACCTCACTGTGTAGAACTCATTGGGATCATTTTTCTGCAAGGTAACGGAGCTGAGGGCTGGTCATGACATGTAGCTGATAGTGGAAAACAAAGAAGCTGTATTTAATGAAGATCAGTCACGTCATGGCTGATACCTAAATCTACTTAAGATCAATATCGTTACCAGTCCCATATCGGATCAGTGCATCCCTACTGAACAGACTATAATATGTCTACATCAGCTACATCCTGGCAGTTCAATGATATACCATTATACACACGTTGGATTCCACAGAGTTAATATAGTTTAAATACACTGTAGGAGCAGCTGATATTTACAGGGGCTTTCTCAGAAGCGGTTATGGGAGGAAGACATGGCTGCACTTACACTCAGAAGAGCCCGTCCCTGAGAGGAGATATTAATATGTGACACCGTTACTAAAGCTGGAGAGGAAGAAGCGCCAATGGAAACATCCCACAAGGGAGATGGAGACTGAAGGTACAAACTGCAGCACACTAGGCTGCTGGAAAATCTCTTCTCACAGGTTACGGAGTCACATGGCCAGCAAATACGGCCCCCGTCATGCCAAGCTGTTAAATATAGAAATGAAAGGCACTTTTGTGAAGACGGCTTTGGTTTTGTGGCCATGCAGTGTCACATTTATCTGCATCGTAGTGATTTGACACACACACAAGGGTAGGTCTTATTTGCATGTTTGACTCCGAGGTGTTTTTGCATGTTATCGCCTTTAAAACGGGACGTAAAGCAGGACAGCGAGAGAGGTGCAACATATTACAACAGGGTGTCTCAATCTTTTGTTTTTTAAGACATAAAATCTTAATTTTAAGAAACAAAGCAGGTTATAAAACTGCAAATAATATCTGAATAAATATGTTATTCATGTGATTAAGGTTTTGTTTTCAAGTTGTTTGGATTATATAGAAATTACATACACTCTTTATTCCCTATTACAATAAATAAAGAACTACAAATGACCCATGACCCTGCCGTCATGTATAGTGACTATAAAAAGGATTCTGAACCCCAAGGTTGAGGAAGTTGTTTCTCTGAAACTTTAAAACCAGTGAACAGTTTCTCTTCCCAGAGTAGTACGAGGAAAAACAAAAACAATGTGCTAGAAAGAGGAAGTTTAGCTCCCACTTTGCTCTCTCACTTCATGGCAGACTTAATACGATAACAGATTAATAAGCTCCAAAACTAGAGGAGCTGTTAAGTAAAGGACACAGATTTATACTCACTGATGTGGTCGATGGCACCGGCGCAGAACTTGCCGAAGAACTTCTTAGCCCCGAGGCCCCTGAGGTCGTGGATGGTGAAGGGCCAGAGGTGGAGCACATTGTTCCTGGAGAACGTGTCCCTCTTCTCAATCACCACCACCTTGCAACCCAACAGGGCCAGCTCGATGGCTGTCCGCAGACCACAAGGACCCCCGCCAATGATCAGACACTGAATTAAAGGCAGCAGGAGGAAAAATAGGGGTTGAGGGGTTAATGACAAAGTGGTAGGGGTGTTCAAAGTTTTCAGAACTGTAACTTCTGAGTAGAGGAGGTGCAAAGGAAACTCTACTGTATACGGTTTGTTTGTTATGATATCTCACAGCAGGTGTTCCCTCAGTCATACAGAACTGTCGAGTGTGTTTCTTTGTTTCCTTGCATCAGTTGGAACAAATTAGACTCCAGTTTCAGCCACAACTAATCTGAGCTGCTCATATGGTCAAAATTAAGGAACAGTCAAATGGAATACGCCCTGTTGCATTTCCCTTTAATGATCTCAAAGATCATTTTAAAGCAGATTGTGGACAAGGATTTCCAAGGATGCAGTTTGATTTGACATTTGTCTTTAAATATTTCCTGTTAATTTCCACAACAGTAAAGAACATGACATTTTGCATACTGAACTGAAAAAGCAGTACACAACAAAGGCCAGCAGAGATGTATATTTTATAGGAGTGTTTCCAATAACAGTACCTTAGCAATGATTTAGCTGGGTGGAGCGGTTGTCATCCTGCATAGCAGTGTTTCTTAAATGGGGGTACACTAGGTGATTTTTTATACTTTTTGATATAAATGACAGTAACTGATGTTTTATCGACTTTTGGACTGAGAAGAAACGATGAGAAGAGAGAAAAGCAGCAGACAGCAGCCTCATTATGTGGAAATGGGAACAGGAGAAGAAAAAGCCTCATCTGGAAAGTCTCAGAGGTCCTCTGTGATTACAGTCAACGTCTCATTTCCAGGTCAGTATGCGCTGTGCCATTTTACAGTTATAGGGAAAAGTAACTGGCAAAACAATTAGCACAGCCTTCTGGGAAAGGTTAGCTTAATCACTTTTGGGAGTATGATTTCTGGCATCTTCCATGTAAAAGAACAAAATATACAGAAAACTAAGAAATTTAGATTCTAGATAGAGTTCCAGAAAACACAGGACCCGTCCAGCTACAGGACCACCATCTTTCTCCAAATAGCAGTTTCTCCTGAAAAAATGTCTGGGATAATAATTTAGCTGTTATTTTTGGCTTACCCTCAGCCCAACCCAACTCTGTTAATCTCCCTTCTGCGAGTCTCTGGCCTCTTTCCCCTCTGGACGTCTTATCTTTTCCTTCAGATATGAAGGACACTGTGCTAAATGTGCTGCTCAATATACTTCGACATACATGGTCAGACAATAAGACAGATCAGCACATGACATAAAACAACAAATGTGAGATAGCGATCACATGAAATATGTACTTGAACTCTCATATTGTCTTTAGGCCTCAGTGAAAGCCATATACTACAGTCTGACTAACATACGCTGCTCACTTTCATAAAGTGACCCACATAAATAGCTTATATTACTTGATCCAGAATTTTAAACTGAATTGACTCAAGTTGTATGCTCTAAATCCAGTTAATTCAGCCTCTTAAAGTTAGGATTACTCTGTTCTAATTAAATATTTGCATATAATTACAGAAATAATCCATTTACATAATTTATTTTCCTAACAAAGCCACACTGGCAAAGGTCCTAATTGGGTATTTGAACAAATAAACCATAATTCCTTATAATTCCTTGAACACATGTTCTACTCAACAGAACACAGAAAAGACATAAATGTACATAAATGACTGTCAACAAGCTTGACCACAACAAACACCAGGATCCTTTCTGGTTGATATCAGACACAGAGACTGTCCGACCGGTCACTGCAGTTCAAAGCACTACAGACTGTTTACTGATAGCTTTCCTACAGCCGATCAGAGCTGTGTTAAGTTGCTACTAATCCTGCTGCTTCACATTAAAGCTTCCTTTACCAGTGGGAGGCAGCTAAAGGAAACACAGTTACACGTTACAGAACCAGCGCTGCTATTCTTCCATAAATATTGGTCTATATGGCAAGATATGGATATATTTGTCACTATTTGGTTATTTTTAAATGTTGCAGGGAGTTTTGTAGTACAAAAGTCAGTGTCAGAGGAGGCGCTGCAGATGACAGTCAACTAAGGCCTGGTCACACTGGCATTTAAAGCGGCGTAATCATTTCCCCTACAGTGGAATCGCTGTAATTCACTCATGGTGGGTAAAGTAAATGCACGGAAATTATTTTTTTCAAGTCAGTGCTGACTTATGGGAGAATGGCGAACTAGAAAGTACAAAATGGAGGAAGCTATCATAGGTTATTGGCTGTGATGCACCATAACCCTCTTCTGTCAAAGTATAAACAGCTCCATAAGCAAACAGTGTTAGTTGTAATGTCTGTAAAATGATCATTTCAAATGTTATCGATATGCTTAAACATCTTTCCACACAACATGGATTTAAATTCCAGGAATGAACCTCCAGCACTATCAGAACAAATCACACCTTTTACCTTTCACCATTCACGCTGTGCATAGTTTAAATGGTTCTGGTTGTTGACGTGAATATCCTCCCATTCTCCTAAATACTGAACCAAATTAGTTTCATATCATCTATTAGTAGACTCAAACTCCAGTAGAGGTCTTTTCCAGTTGCGCTCTCTTACCCTGGTTCCCTGGCAGGCTTTATTCTGGTTGTAGACCTTGTGCTGTGCCCTTTTGTCCAGTTTGGTCCACAGGGCCTTGACCTTCCAGGTGCTGACTGCAGCCTTCAGTGTGCTGTAGAAGTTGCTGTAGTCCAGAGGATCCAGCTCCAGCTGCCTGCAGAGGATGCTGAAGGCCTGCAGAGTCCCTTTACAGGTAGACGCCTGGACAAAGTTCTCAAAGAGCACACTGGCCTGCGCCGTGCGTTCATCCTCCGTCTCACCCATCTGCTCGGATGGTAAACAGCGTCCACTCCGTCTCTTCTTCCTCTGCTGCTTCCTTTTCCTGTTTACGCTTTCCAAACTGTCAATACTGGACTTCTATGAAGTGGTGTGTGCTGCCATTCTTAGCCAGTTCTGAAAGAAATGAACAAATAAAGTTTTTAGACAGTGACACAAGAGACTGGAAATAAAGCCAAAGTTGATGAGTAAGACCTGCTTCCTGCACATTTTCCTGCTTATAACGCTGCTGTTCTCCATCAGTTTTTACTTTTGCATCACACACATTCCAAATGTAAAGAATGTCTGCAGTCGCACTGAAAATAAACTGCAGAGGTCAATGTGCTGCCTCATATAGCCACGGTGTCATGTCCTGCATTTTGTAAGAGGTGCACAGGGACACGCACTGCTTCGACCCCACATCCCTGTACAGGACTTCACCTCAAGCCAACAACAACAAGCCTCCAGAGTTCATCAGTCACAGTCATTAATTAAGCTGCACATATTTTTTTTTTCTCCACAACAAAAGATGTTTTCCTCCTCCAGCTCCACTGAATGCCTGATAGGATTATGACCGAGAGTGTGCTTGGAGGGGTTCAGCTGAGCAGTCATGGGAGAAGCTCAAACACTGTGGCTGTAGGCATTCAGACAAAACAGTCACATCACAAGCAAGCAGCAACTTGGTGAGGCACAAGATGCAGAAAAGAACAACACTGAAATACAGCAGCAGATTTACACAGCAGACTACATCCTTTGCCCCCCCACTGTACATTCTGTTCCACCCTCACAGTGCAAAACACACACAGAAGTTTTTCCACTATCAGAAGAACATCACTTCCCCGTTCCATCACCCAGAGGCCTGGGGTATGATAAATTTCCTTATTCCTGGTTCCTTTAGTGATTTTATCTTATTTGAAAAGGTCAAGGGCATCTAAGGAGGGGTTCAGAGCTGAAATATCTCTAAAGTATTTATGTCAGCTTAATAGATGGTTATGTAACTGTGGATATTGACATCTGAATGGAAGCATTCAAATGTTCACCCACTCTGTGAAAAGGTTGTGACCAGTTTTGTTGGTCAAAGCCAACCAGTTAAACACCAGAAAATCAGCAATGCGTGCGTGCCTCCAAAGTCACCCGCCTGCTCACGGCCAATGGAAAAGCACCAGAATATCCTTGTTGATAACGTTGGAAAGAAAGTACTGGCTCTCTGGGTTTCTAATTTTAGGTTAGGGGTGTTTGAATGCTCACAAATGTAAAGTCAAGTCTTTCAAGATTACAGGAAGAGCTCCTCGGTCATGAATGGACTGACCGAGTAGACTTATTGGCTTGACCTTGGTGTCAGACCTGTGAAAACATTACAAGACCATACAATACAATACAATGCAATATCACTTGCACTTTAACTGCTTTCAGTGCCTACTAGTCAAATGACATTTTAACTGCTTTCAACCACTCTTGGCTTTTACACAAGAGGTAAATACAACTAACATTTCCTCTGCTACAAGTGCTTCAACTTAAAATGGAACTGCATGAGACATTTCACATTCAAACAATTCACACTTTAAGACAATTTTCACTCTAAGTGAGCATACTATACATACATTCTCTAGAAAATGTCACTTTTTCTGGTTTGAATATAATGCTTTACCTTATATTAACCAATGGATTCATTCTATATCCCGAACTCTACCCAACAACAGACTCAGGTTATTTGAAGCTGATGCCAAGCTTTGTGGATAACATCTCTGTCAAAGTTAAGTATCAGATCCAGATCGCTGGAAGTCTTTCAGCATTATTCTCACTAGCCATGGAACCTGCTGTCCTAGAGGAACTGAGAGAAGATACTGTTTCTCTCTCTCTCTCTCTCACACTCACACACACACACACACACACGCATCACATGCTCGCAGTGTCCAACAGGCCTGAAACCAAATCACCTGAAAACTGTGCATGCACTCTGTATGCAAACAATGTGTGCGTCATGGCAAGGGAAAGTGCATGCGGCACATGGACGACACCTGGCTGGCCCTTTAGTTTGTTCCAGTCACACATCCCACCACACACACACACACCCCACTCCCCAAGAAACACACACTTTCCCTTTAAGTCCTTGAGTGGCCCAGAGGGGGTCTCAGATCTCTGCTACCTAACAATTTGGCAGCCGACAGTAGCCTCTCAATTACTATTACCCCCTACAGACACTCACACACACACACACACACACACACTTATAAACCTTATACTTTTCATGCTATTTCATGTCCTGGCCAGATAACAAGTTTCCAAAGCTTTGTTCTTTGTTTCTTGGACAAATTATTAAAACTGGGACTTCCTCTGCCGTAAAAGCTCCAGTGTGTAGGATTTAATGATGGTCTGGCGGTGTTGTTACAGAATCCAACCCCCTCGCATCACCTTCCCATTCCATAAATGGAGCAACTACAGTGGCTGCAAAACACTTGACAAATGCGAGCGGTCCTGTCTAGAGCGAGAGAGAGAGGCTACTGGAGAAACATGGCAGTGGAACGTGGCTGCCTCTGTAGAAGAAGACCCGCTCTCTCTGGCTCATTCTAAGGTAACAAACACACAACAATTCTTTCTTTCAGGTGATTATACACATATGTAATTCATGTATGTTTTCATCAGTGTGTATATATATATATGTGTNNTGTTACACAATGGACCTTTAAGTTGCAACATTTAAAAATGTGTTCTGCTTCAGTGAAAATATGGAGTGTAACCAAGAGCACCTGTCCCAGATTATTCACCCTTTTTGGATCTCATCCATTTTCCTAAAGCAAAAGGAACCCTGGGACACAGTAAGCTGGAAACAAGGAAATTCAAGGAATTTGTTTGGAAATGCCATCCTGATACAAGCTCAGAGACCGACTGCCCTACTTGTGTCTGGCTCGGATGACCAGATATGATATACTGCAACTCCCACTGACCCATCAGGTCAAGAGAAACAGATA